TAAAATTTTTTTCTTCCTATTGGAAAGGGACTTACAGAAACAGAATATGGAACAGTGGTAATCATTAAAAACTAATTTCAGAAAGAGCTTAGTTTGACATGTATGTGTGTGTATACACACACACACACACACACATATACACACACACACATACATACACACACACACACACACACACATTTAATTCTACAATAGGTAAACCTGTATAGCTTTAAGAACTCCAAAAATATTTAAGGAATGCAGAGGGTATTCATTTGCAGAAGCACAGCCCCAGCACTTTGTGCTGAGGAAAGGAAGGTACCAGAACCAAAGATATAATACTTAATTGCTTGTCCTTAGACCACACCAGAAATAGTTAACTGATGATAAACACTAGTCCATGCTTCACAGTCTTTCAGTAAAGAATAACAGAAAAAAAAAAAAAAAGAGTAAAATACTATCATTCATGCTAACAGCATTTATCACTTTGTACTAAAGATGCAACAAACTGCAAACTGCATAATGCATTGCAGCAAAGAGCAAAACGGAGGTTGGCAAGACCTTCCAACTGGGCTGACAGTGACACTTTCAAAGGCAAATACAAATCTATTTTGCATGCTCTTCCCCAAGGCCATACTCCACTAAAAACAAAGTTCTTATGTTATCTTATGCTATCACACATCAAAATTTATGTATTCAATAAACCACAAGCTTGTTATGCCCTGTGAGCTCAGGAAAAACACTTCGGACATATGTGTGTGGTCTTAAGTTCTGTATTAAAATGAATTTATTTTGATTTATGATAGGAATAGTAAATATAATCTACTGCCTTTCAACAGTTAAAGCATTCAGACAGAAAAAGAGAGTCAATAAAACATATCCACTAAGCTGCTCACCTTCACAAAGATACTAATGTTAAGTAGCAAAGATACTAATGTTAAGTAACAGCAAGGCACATCAGATTTCTTAAACAGTGTTTGAAAATCTGTCAAGAACAAAAATAGATTACGTAGAGTGTAAGATATATAAATCCAAAATTTAGTTAGCTTAAATTTCTTGTTATGAAGTGTTGTTTCCAGTTAATGACTCATTCACCAATCCCATCAAATTAGGGTTCTTAATCAGCGAGATCTAAGTCTCGCATTTATAAGCATTTATAAGCATTTATAAGCATTTATAAGTGATATCAAGTGTATTTCTCTGTCAGATCACAAAGGACTAATACTAGGAGCTTGTCTCAGTTGAAAATTCAGCTATATTAAAAAAAAAAAAAAAAAAACCAAACAAAACCAGAAAACAAAAAGCACAGATCTGCCCTCAGACGGCTCCCACCGTCACTGGGAGCCACGTAAGCAGTCACTTCAACACTGTCCCTATGATGTCCCTATGAACGAAGGTCCGAATAGTTTTGTACAGGTGCATAAAATGGTCTCCATGGATGAGACGCATTCTTTAAGCTACCACATGTGCTCACAAACTTTCCTCCCGAGTTAAGCTTTATCAAGCGGTCCACGACCACGGCAGCCAGGATTTGATTTTCTCCCTCAAAATTAACAAGKTCGGCCAATAAACAGTAACAGAGCAGGGCATCGTTAGCACCATTACAGTTATATTCAATTAATACACAATATGAATGTACAATAGTACATTCATATACAATTGATATAATTATTACAATCCCATGCTACTCACCACCAGCTGTAGAGACACACTGTATAAGAGGACATATATAAAATACTGGGTTTRCAGTAGATTTCCTGCCTGCCCCAACTGACTCGGATAATTCCAGCCTGTTCAAGACCTCTCCTCCAGCTGGAAAGGATGCAGGCACAGCCACGGTGGCACTTGGGCAACAGCCTGGGAAGCAGGAACAAACCRGTCCAGCCACTACCGCAGCTTCAATCCCACCACGGGATAGTTCAGGACAGGGCAGGAAATCTGATGCCCAAGTTCCTCAACCCCCAGCGCCCATAGGAAAACTCAAAGACTCCTTGAGAACAGGAGGACTGTTGGAGTCAAGAGACTTCTTCCTTGGCAAACATTTGTTGGTTTGCTCTCAGAAAAGGTCCACGATAACTGTCAGCAATGGTGACTCCATCCCCGGAGATGGCAATCAGTAACTTCAGCCAGAATAAACGACCTGCACTGTTTGAGAAGGGCTCAGGGGGGATCCCAGGGCTGCATACCAGCAAGGAAACAACAGGCAAGAGAGCAAGAATTCATTGGGGAGGATTTTTACGTTACTAAGTTCTTACTCATTTCCCAAATCCTAAGGRTTCACAGGTTCAATGGTTATGACTACCAGCCCACAGAACCATGTAGATCTATATTGGGAAAGAGGTACTTTATAAATACTTAGTGAAACAGACCCGATGAGGTTAAAGCTTAATTTAAATATCACCACCAACAAAAACTAAAGAAAAAAAGCCTAAAAAATCTCCACCGGTCAAAAAGCTGTAACATCCTAGGTAAGAAGGGTCTCGAGTCCACATCAACAGCAACAAAATCACACATCAGTTTAAAATAAWAATAAATAAAAAAAAAGGATGCAGCATGTTGCCTCAAAGATCAAATATTTCTCCCTTTTCATTGCATGCTGCCCTATTCAAACACAAAATCTGATCAGAAACATTTGTAAATGGGTTCTGCATTAGCATCTCACCTGTAGGGGAGCCTAAAATCGTTCAGGATTACCTGCAGCAACAGAAAACCGATACCGAATCTACACACAATGCACCTAGTGAAAAAAAGTGTCACCCAGTGTGACCCACAAGGGCCTACAGCCTGTCCCCCCTCCCCGTTGGGAAGGACCACAGCACATTTGGCTGTTTGATAAATGACTTGATCTGTGTTCTCTGATTTCCCATTCTATTAGGACTTTTTGCTGAAAAGGTTAAATGAGCTGAATGACAAAAGGTTTCAAATTAATCTTTCCCCCCTCCTTATTCTTCTCTCCCGAGGTGAAAACAGCTGCCTAGTCGCATTCTCGCTCTGTGTCATATAGTCCATCCACAAGAAGGCCTCACATTCCTGCAGGCTCTCTCAGACAACTGCCCATCAGGAGCTGGAGGGGACAGCTAATACCAAATCCCAGAATGGCTGGGGCTGGAAGGGACCCCTAGGGATCATCTAGTCCAACCCTCCTGCTCCAGCAGGGACACCCAGAGCAYGKGGCACAGGGCGGCATCCAGGYGGGTTTGGAAGATCTCCAGAGAAGGAGACTCCACAGCCTCCCTGGGCAGCCTGCGCCAGGGCTCTGGCACCCTCGCAGGAAAGAAATTCCTCCTCACATGGAGACGGAACTTCCCATGTTTCAATTTAACCCCCCTTTCCCCTTGTCCTACATCTCCTACCACCATTCAGCACTTGCTGATGCCTCCCACAACTCAACACCCACTGCCACAGGCACATTTMTGCTCCCTGCCCACTTATCAGCTCTAGAAAGGCTCGGACCAAGCTAAGAAGCCTGGCTGAGCACAGCATGCCTTAGCTGAACAGTAGTTCAGGACACACTCACACAGGCTTCAAAAGCAAAGCAGGAGAGCAACTGCCACCTCTCTACTCAGCTCTGTCAGATTCGCTACACTTCTGTAGAGAATTAAACTAGAAGCAATGAACTRCAGCTACAGTTATCTCTGCAGATCTCAGATTGTGTTTATTAAAGTATAAACGTGTCTATTACACATTCAGAAAGAAACTGTCCCTATTGGCATGGGGCAGCTCTGCAGTGTTTCTCTCTGTCATTCTTGTAGACACTTTCCTCTCAGGAGCACAATTGGAACAGCACAAAACAGAGCACAGCAGAAAGGTATTCTGAGCATCTTTCATTTGTTTCCCAATTTGTGCCCTTGTCACCCAAATCACACACATGCTTTCTCTAGTAAACTGTCAAAAAAAAATTCTCAGATGTTTTCAGACCACAGAAGATATGCCATCAAAAACAGAGATACTACCACAGAACAGATGAACAGCCCTTCTGCCAGTGAAGGGATACTCTTCTTATTTTTTTCCTCTCTTTTTTTTTCAGTGGTTGCTTCAAACCTCCAGCAAGTGGCCTTTAGAAGTGTGGCTCACTTCACGGGTGCTATTCAGCCTCCTAAAGCAGTTCTAGAGCTTGCTCCTGAAATATTTTATGTTCATAAATCTTACAGAAGCTTACYATTTTACTAAGCCAAAATAACTGAGCTTAACAGACTCCTTAAAAGTTTGTTATTAAGTGAATACCATGCAATAGCCAAGGTTTTTAAACAGAAGTGACCAGTTTAGAAAACATTTTCCATCTCGACACTCTTGAACTCTAAATTAGTAAGGAACTTTCACAGGTCTGCTCCTGTAAGATTCCTCAGAAAGATACAAGTGACATCAGAGATTTTTATGTGCAAGAGATGAACAGAAAAAGTAGCAGCTTCTGTCAGTTAGGGAAAGCGATGAAAAAAATCTACATTTGCTAGCACCTAACTTCATGTCCATTCTTGTCTATAGCTAAGCATTCCCTTCTTGCAAATAAAACACTGCCTGCTTCCCAGCAAAGAGACGGCAAGCATTTTACATCATGCAAGTGACCTGCCACCAACAAAAACAACTGAGAAATTTAACTTGTTCAATTTCAATAAACAGGCTTACAAAACCTCTCTGTTCCCAATCTCATGTCCTTACATAGACAAGGTGAATTCTGAGCTACTTATTCTTTCAGATAATGATTAAAAAACAGTGTGCGGAAGGGAAGGATACACTGCAGCATGGTAGGATGCCACTCAAACATGTGCTTTCTTCCAGAGGCAGAAAAGCTTTTATTCTCTCCAGACATTCAAAGATCAACTGTCCTACCCTTTTGCCTGGTACATCAGGCACCGAACACACATCTCTGTCTCCCCATCTTGCATACAGCCAAATTTTCACACAGAAGAATCACACAGAAGACACAGCCAAATTTTCCACGTCTTCCTCTGACCAAGGACCTAGCCCATATGTTAAAGAGAYGAAACGAGGGGTACTATCAACTGCAGATCATTGCAACTCACTCCCAGAGAGCAGCTTGACGGGTCTATGGCTGGGTCCTTGCAACGCTCTGCAGCTCCTGCCTCCGGAGCAGCTTCTCTCCTGCTCTTCCCCACAGCTGTGGGCTCAGATTCCCAGGGGCAGCATGCCAGGCACCGCTCTGCTGCTGGTCACACTATACAGCTTCGCTCTGAAAAACAAAAGGGTGTTTGTTTTATACAGCAGATAGTACCTCCGTGTAAATATGTTTAGAAGGACTCGTACCGGGCTGTTGCCTGAAGGRTGGAACACCAGCCACAGCGCATTCCTGTTTGCTGACACTTCTGAAGAGGTAAACTCCACCACCACAGCATTTCTGCAGGGGATCCTTTTGGTCACAAATGAAAATAAAAGCACACCCTCACCAGAAAAATACAATTTGAGTAATTTACTCTGCTAGCAATCAAAATATGTGAGAAATGAAATAAGAAATGGAAAAAGTAATTTTCAGATGAATGCTCTCATTCTGTTTGTGGCTTACTCCTAAGTCACATTTGTGCTTTYAAAGAAATTAACCATACTAGCACATAAATTGTTGCCACTTGGTCAAATGCTTTCTGTTAAGGCCAGAGAACATGCAAGCCTGTCGTGCTGCTACCCCCTGCACATTAAGACAGTAAATTCTGAAGCCACCACATTTAAAATGTTATCTGACAGCAGTCACACATACAGCAAGTAAATCATTGGGTTATGATTAGACAGACAGCACGGAGAGCATTAGCAAATACCCCCGGGTTGTGTTTGAACACACGGCTAGCATTTCCCTTTGGGGTAACTTACTCTTTTCAGGAAAGATTCCAGGTCAAGTCACACTTCAGGTGAGTGCAGAAAAGAGCAAATTGCCATATTTCTAGTCTGAGGTACATAATCTTTTTTTTTCCTCTCTGTTTTAATCATGTACAGGAAAGAGGATTCCTGGATTTAGCTTTGCTTATTCTGCCTCCTTCCAACTCTAAAGAACTGTTTTCCACCAGATATGTTTTTCATTGCAGCAAATTCAGCTACCAGGTGCACAATGCTGTCTTCCCATCTCACACTCCCCTCCTGAAACAACAGCCTCCAAAAAGGTGCTTTTACTGTCATTCAGCTTTAGAAGGTCTGGTCTCATGAAAAATAGAAATACATATTATTACATTCTTATTAAAATGCTATGCATTAAACCAATACAGACTACCTTATCTAATACTACTTTACCTAGCAGCCTGAGGGACCTGGGAACCCTGAGGGCAAGCCTTGCCATTAAAAACCGAGGCAAAAAAAGGCACCAAGTATCTCAACATTTTCCATATCCCTTTTACTAGGTCCTTGTCCCACTGAGCAACAGGCCCATATCTCCCTGTACGACTCATCTTTCTTGTTGCCTGTCWCATCTCCTGCTAGTTTTAGCTCAGACCTTTCCTAACTCCGCTCCTGCGAGCACAGGCAACATTCCTGCACTCCTCCTAACTAGCCAGTCCCTGCTTCCACCTTCCGTGTACTTCCTTCTTGTGTTGGTGCCCAGTCAAAAACTTCATCTTCATCCATGCTGGCCTTCTATGGTGCTTGCTCARCTTTCTGTTCATTGAAGTAGACCATTCTTATGCTTAGGGAGGCTGTCCATGAAGACCAACCATCTGGTTGGTCCCTTTGCACTCTAGAGCAGTTTTCCTTGGGACCCTGCCAAGCAGGTCTTTAAGCAAAGCAAAATTTGCTCTTCTGAAGCTAAGGGTTGCAATTTTGTTCTTTGCCTTGCTCTTTCCTCTCAGTCTCATGGCCATTGCAGCTAGGGATGCTCTCAGCCTTCATCTTCAACTATTTCTTACCCATTGTGGGTGGCAAGCCCAACACAGCATTTCTCCCAGCCAGTCCTTCTACATCAAGGATCTGTCTTTAAAGCACACAGAAATCTCTTGGATTGCTTGCACTCAGGCACTTTGTAGACTTCACAGCACTAAGTACTATTTCTGCCAGGACCTATAAACTGCAAGGCTTTCTCCAGCTGCCTAAAGAAGCCCTCACACACCCAGCACATCACCGCTTCTTATCCACCTTCAGTTTCTACTGGTTCATGACCTGTTTCAGGACAGGGGTCCCTACCTTCCTCCATACAGAGCACAGCCTCTCCTTCTCGCCTTCCCACTCTGTCTTTCCCAGAAAGCCTTCTTCTATCCATTGCAGCACTCAGATTAGGAAAGCYATCTCACTGTGGCTCTGTAATTCCAAAGAAGTGGTAGTTGTGTGACTGTACACAGATTTCTAATTGCTCCTGGTTGCTGTGCACATTTGTGTACAGGTGTTTGAGATGGGCTTCAGGCAGTACTGGATTTACAGGAAGAGGGCGAGAACCTCTCCTGCTGCGCTGTCCCTTAGGAAATCCTCTGTGCTCCTTGTGCCCACRCTTCTCTTCGATTATGGTAGCCTCACTAAGTTAGCAACCTTGCTTGCAGCCATGCTCTGGCCTGAATGTCACACCTATCCCATTGCAGCTCAGCAACCCTTGCTCCTCAGAGGYGCCATGGTGACTGAAACTAAAGCTCTACCTACCTTAGCCACACAGCCAGATGTTGACCCATTGGATGAGTCCGCTATTACTCGGACCTTTTTCCATCACTAGAAGGACTGATGAGACAAGACCTGGGATACCTGCCCTTCATCCTCACCCCCAGAACTCTGCATCTATTCTTAAAATRCTCCATGTTATCCCAGCAATATTGTCAGTAACCTTGTGGAAGAGCAAGTAATAGGGCCAACATGCCTTASAAGTCTCTCTGCAATACCGCTGATTTCAGCTCCTGTCAAGCAACAAACATCAAGACACTAGGTCAAGAAAGTGATAACTCCATCACCCCACAAGGCAGAAGCCTCCAGCAGCCATCACTCATAGCTGTTTGGCTCCCCACTAATTATCACTCACCGATCATTTGCAAAATGCACAGGAGGTAGAAGCAGTTCTGGTGCGCCCTAAGGGYAACAAAACAGGTAGAGCCTCTTTCCTGTGATGGTGCCAGAGCCCTGGCACAGGCTGCCCAGGGAGGCTGTGGAGTCTCCTTCTCTGGAGATCTTCCAAACCCRCCTGGATGCCGCCCTGTGCCCCGTGCTCTGGGTGTCCCTGCTGGAGCAGGAGGTTGGACTAGATGATCTCTAGAGGTCCGTTCCAACCTCAACCATTCTGTGATATTCAGAATACGGAGCATTATGAACTAGAGATGGGGACAGAGCATCTGTGTGTGTGTGTGTGTGTGTGTGTGTGTGTGTGTGTGTGTGTGTGTGTGTGTGTGTGTGTAAAGGTGACACCTATCTTTAGGCAATGTTTACTACAATTTAGTAACCAGAAATTAATTAGAGTTAGCAGCACACACCCACAAGTGCTCTGCAAATGTAGCAAGAACCTCACCAGACTTTCCACAGCCAACCAGTATGAGATCTGTGTTCCCACAAAAGCACTTACTAATAGATTTTGACTGCCAAAAGAACTTAGGACTAAGTCAACAATCATCAAAYGAGAACAATACAGAAAAGCTCTAGAATAAAAAGGATGTTAATAGGAAGATATTGATATAATGCTTTCAAGTCTTCTTTTGGAAAAGAAGTTTTTTCTTCTAATTTCATTTTCTCCTCACTAAGCGCACAAGTTAATTCACTAGTACTCAAGGACCTAAAGTTCAATGGAAATGGTAAATTACTACCTAGAATTAGGATCGTTAAATATACATATATATATATTCTAAGAATTTTTGACAGAAAATATCCTCTAGCAAAAATTCTACAGGTTTACGAGCCACTGTACGAAGACTTACGTTCTTTGATAATTTTGAAGGTACTGCTTCTAGTTTCATTCAAGGCCCTTTGACTTCTGTTCCGCATAAAGCAGTAAAGACACTGCCAAAACATTCATGGCTTTCCAATGGTCATACTCTTCCATGAGACCTTTCTCATACTAGAGTTCTACCCTAATAAACATACTCAGTTTCATGGGGCAGTGTCAATACATGGTATCATCAACACTCCTTTCTCTTTCTGAAATCAAAAGGCTTTTGGAGATGCAGAAATGCACAGAGTATGTAAGTGGAAGGACCATCTATTTCTACAGCAGTAAAAAGATGGCTTTTTTATTCCCAATAGAAATTCCTAATGATTTATTTATTAATAGAGCTGATATTCCCATGAGTGTATAACGTGATCACCAAGATATTGCTCTTGCTCAGCTTCAATCCTACTGTTTCACACAAATTTCAAAACAGGGATATGCCAAATTTCAACYGCCACTTCATTACTCAGGCACTCACTTTCATAAGGTCTGCAAATAATTCCTTGCAGTCAGCTTTTGTCTTCATTATCCCAGTAGTTCTGTAACACCATTAGACTTGCACATCCCACTGCTCAGTGCCCTTTCCAGGGCATTTGTGCTGAAAAACAAAGATGCCCAGATATCTCCACTGAAGGTCATCAGTGGAGTTCATAAGAGCTTACCATTTTTTTTCCAAACTTTTTTTTTTAAGTTAAAAAAAAACAACAAAAAAGGCTTTTAGTTATCCATGCAAGACCTTCTTTCCTCTTCCATGACTGCTCAGCTTTCCAGATCATATATCAACTAGATCATCTTCATTTAGATATTTCTTGAAGGGGTCAACATATKAAGGCTCAAACCCTGATTCTGTCCTGGCTGCATTGCCTAGACATCTCTATGATACCTGCAACCTTTTATGTGAGATAATGTAACTAGTAAATATAATATATAAGATACACTGTTATAAAATATTTTGTTGTGTATATATATAATACTGCATAGTGTTAGTTAAAAAATCTTGTTTTAACAAGGCAAGCACATTTCAAGTCTGATAAAAAATTACACTAGTCTTCAAAACTGCAGAACATACAAAAATATGTCCAAAAAAAGTTAATATGAAGCGTGATTTAATTATATTCCATATGCAGGAAGATCTAATCAGCTGAATAGAAGAAAGGATATAAAATAAAAGCTCCCAAAGAATACAGCTGCCACGCACACAGGGCAGCACAATGCTCATATTTACTAAATCCCAGAGTCAAGTGACTGGTTTGGGTTCTCAGTCTCTTCAGTGAACACCTTTTCATGAGACCCCTACCCTGCGAAACTAGAAGATTTCTTCATAATAGCAAATTCTCTGATCCTCATTTGAGAGCATATTGCATGGTAAGAGGGGAATGGTGCAAATTACAGCTGCAGCAGGACTATGCCTTAAAGAATACAAATAAGTTACGAGAGAAAAAAAAAAATAAAGGGAGCCAATTTAAAAGAGAAGGAAGTCAACCCTTTTTAAAAGGGAGTTTCCCAGGCTATTCAATACTAAGCATTTTTTGCCAAAATACTGAAATATATTTATGCTTCCTGTATTTTCAGAGACTAGTTAGCTTTTATGTGCTGCTGTATAAGTTTTAACTTATACAGCAAGAATCACAGTCCTACTTTTCTCAGCAGTTAAACTACACCCATTCTGGCACCCTTCCCACCCCCTGGGTACACATATAATAGTTTCCACCAGAAATATCATTTTTAAAGGTATTCACTCACTCCCAGCTTCTCCTTCTGACGACCTTCCTCTGAATGTGTGGTCCATTCAGCATCACTGCCATAAAGCGGCCCGGCTGAACTGTCAGCTCTTTTATTATCACAATAAACAACTTCACCAGCTACTTAGCAACTCATGCAGATTAGAGCTCCAGTGGAGTAATCAGAAGCCATAGTACCTTAACTAAACAGGAAGGTCCATTATCCGCGTGTTTTAGCACAAAATTATGGAACGGTAGCAGTTAGATGTGTATGGTTAAAAAGTAATTACTGACATGCTTGCTGTATCTTGCAAAAATACCGAGAAGGTGATGGTTAAGCATTCACACAGTCAACGGTGTGTTTTATGGAACAGCAGTTACTAAATGCAACTGTTTGGTTCAAATGAGGTTAAATCTCCTTCAGTCTCAACTGCACTTGAAGGATTTTTTTTAACAGTGAATATCCAGCTTCAGAGAGAGAAATAAAAAAGAAGGCTCAATGGAGAGGATGAATAAGTTCATACACACAAACGTGGCAGAATCATGGCTTGCAGGAAGACATCAGCTGGGTGACATCTGGTAGTCTGTGGCAAGAGGCATCCTTAAGTTCAGGAGGTATCTAGAATACCTCCAGCTTGAGAAGTAAGTCTGAGAAGCAACACTGAAGCAAAAAAACAGGGATTTCAGGGATTTCAATTGTCTGGGTAATAAGGATTGTTCTAATAGTAAGAATTACTAATGGTTTTTCCACACATGCAGAACTCAGGGACCAGTTGCCAGAAGCAGCTTGTTCTTCTCTCCCACCTGACAGTAACACTGTTAAGAGTGATAAGTGGAAGCTTTTAGGCACCAGGAAAAAATCTCAGTGAGAAAGAGAGAAAAATAAATCGTAATAAAATATAATTTGTGGAAGGAGGCAGGCAATAAAGGGAACCAACTAGAGAAAGCAAGGAACCCAAACATCTCCAAGGTCTTGAGCTCTACCTTGGCTATTGTTCAACTTTGCAGTTTCTGAT